TGAATGTTACTCAACTCCTTAAATGTAAGCCTGTCTCTCAGTCTTTGTCTCAAAGGGAAAGACAGTAGTAAAATGTAGCTGGATAAAGTTATCAGCCCTGTACATTATTAAACTCTAAAACTGGAAAAGACTTTGATGTTCACAAATTCAACACAGATGGAATTGGGTTTTTAGGTTATTTGAGGTTTGTTTTTTTGCGGTATGTGGGCCTCTCACTGTTGTGGCTTTTCCCGTTGCGGAGCACAGGCTCCGGACGCGCAGGCTCAGCGGCCACGGCTCACGGGCCCAGCCGCGAAGCGGCATGTGGGATCTTCCCGAACCGGGGCACGAACCCGCGTCCCCTGCATCGGCAGGCGGACTCTCAACCACTGCGCCACTGGAATTGTTTTGACTTTCCTATTAGAAAGCCAAATTAAAGAATATGATCTTTTATTCAAGTGAGAACTAAAGCTCCCTGAGGGCCAAAACTGAAAATTCATGTTAAATTCCCTATAGAACCTCTATTTTATAACATATAAGTTCCCTATATATCTTTATATATAAAGATAAATATATCTTTAACATAGTAGGTGCTAAAAATATCCACAGAAAGAATGAAATCGAGTAGAAATCTGAAAGAACTGTTAATGATGAGGCTGGGTAGGTAGCAAGGAAGAGCCAATTCACAAAGTCTTTTCACCTGTGCCAAGGGGCATGGACTTCATCCTGGAGCTGGTGCTTAATGAGGAGGGGGAAGTAATCAGGCTGTTCATTCTTTTCCCTCCTATCTCCAAGCAAAGACCACAGCCGGAGCAAAGGCAAAACAGCAAGAGGAGCTTGGTGCATGCAGGAAAGAAAGCATAGCAGCTTGTGGCTGCTGAAACTTAATGTGCATGTAGGATTTATAAGAAGATGAGGCTGGAAAGGGAGGCAGAGACAAGACGACCGAGGGTCTCCAAGGTACAGTAATGTTAAAGAGCTTTGACTCTGTCCAATAGTATAGATGATAAGTGTGTGTATAAATGATGGCAGATGGTAGTGAAGTGGTCAGATCTGCCTTTAAGAAGGAATATTCTGTGTCCACAGGGTGTAAGACAGATTGGAAGTAGAGGAAAGTCTGGAGACAGGGACCAGGAAGGAATTGGCTAGAGTTACATGTTCATTTCTATCTTCTTTGGCGCCACAGCTGATAGCCATGAAGACTTATAAATTGAGCCTATTGTCAGAGCTGGGGCCCAATTTTTTCTGTCTCATGCACACATGGCCTTAAACATAAATATAGTTCATTTTTGTCTGTTGAATAGTTTCCACTTTCCAGAGACTCCAACCTTGGACATATCTACAGGAATAATAAGAGCATTACATAAGTTGGATAAAATTTCTTGCCAGTGTTTAACATAGTTTGCTTTTCTCCATATTTAATCCTAAATGAGCACACAGGCATGTATTTTGGCAGAATCTCTGTGTATTAGTGCTCCAGTGGAGCAAGTCTGAATCTATATAAACAACAGTAAAATAAACTTCTTATACTCACCGTGAGTGCTGGACAGTCAGAGACATTCAGCTCTTGCAAGTTTCTACAGAGGCCTAAATCAAACAAGTTACACATTATTAAATACCATATTACAAATGTTTAAAGTTTTTCCACCCTACATTCACTGCTGTGTATTCATCAGAAAACAAACAAAAACCCTGGCAAATAACTTGTTCCAAGTATATGGTTTCCTTTCCCCAGAAAAAATGATTTATTTTGGCTTTAAAATTTAAAAGTATACACATGTTTATTATTGTTTGAGAATTAAAGAAGGAAAGGGGAAAGAGAAAACTATTTTGGGAAGAAACTGTATATACTTAGAGCTTTCAGCTTTGAAGCACTTGAAGAAAACCAGTCTGCTTTTTTGTGGCATGACATTTTTGTTAATTTGGGGGGTTTTGTTTCCTTTTAACATTCAAACATACAAAAAAGTTGAGAGAATTGTACAGTGAATGTACCCATCACCCACCCATATTCTACAATTTATATTTTACTATATTTGCTTTATCACAAATCCACCTGTACATCCATCTCTCTGTCCCTCAATCCATCTTAATTTTTTATGCATTTTAAAGTAAGTTGCAGACATCAGCACACTTCTCCCCACAAATAATTAAGCATGAATATCATGAATAATTCATCATGCATAGTAATTAACAAAATATTTCTATTTTAGGTTAGATTTACATACAGTTTACAATGAGTTGCAGATTGAGATGTGGAGGGTCAGAAAGGTCAAGTGCCTGATTAGTTCTGGAACCAGAGACACCTGCACAGCTTGTGATCTGGCAGGGGAAACAAGACTTGTGTTATACAATCAGCTCTCTGGGTCTAGACTAACAGTAAGTAAAACTCCAAATCTGAGACAGAAAAGAAGCAGTGAGGGGAGGGGACACAAAACAGTGAATGGGAGGAATGCTTGGGGCAAAGAAGGGGAAAGGCATTCTAGATGGAGGAGACCTGTACAAGCAGGAAAACTCCAGGTAAGGGGGTGATCCTGGCATTCACACTGCTACAATGAATAGGAAACACATCTGCCAGTTATAATCAAAGAGCCCCACGACAATAACAACAGAAATGTTATTAATTATAAGTCCATTTTGAATATTTCTGTCTCTGCCAAGAATGGTCTATGTCCTAAGTAATAAGTGCAAACCAAAAGCAATTTCAGAATTTTAAAGATGAAAACAATTCTTAAAAATGTACAGCTCTTGACAGCAAAGGAATCCATAAACAAGACAAAAAGACAACCCTCAGAATGGGAGAAGATAGTTGCAAACAAAGAAACTGACAAAGGATTAATCTCCAAAATATACAAGCAGCAGCAGCTCATGCAGCTCCATATCAAAAAAACAAACAACCCAATCCAAAAATGGGCAGAAGACCTAAACAGACATTTCTCCAAAGAAGATATACAGATTGCCAACAAAGACATGAAAGGATGCTCAACATCACTAATTACTAGAGAAATGCAAATCAAAACTACAATGAGGTATCACCTCACAATGGTCAGAATGGCCATCATCAAAAATATCTACAGACAGTAAATGCTGGAGAGGGTGTGGAGAAAAGGGAACCCTCTTGCACTGTTGGTGGGAATGTAAATTGATACAGCCACTATGGAGAACAGTATGGAGGTTCCTTAAAAAACTAAAAATAGAACTACCATATGACCCAGCAATCCCACTACTGGGCATATGCCCTGAAAAAACTATAACTCAAAAAGAGTCATGTACCGCAATGTTCATTGCAGCACTATTTACAATAGCCAGGACATGGAAGTAACCTAAATGTCCATCAACAGATGAACGGATAAAGAAGATGTGGCACATATATACAATGGAATATTACTCAGCCATAAAAAGAAACGATTGAGATACAGTGAGGTGGATGGACCTAGAGTCTGTCATACAGAGTGAAGTAAGTCAGAAAGAGAAAAACAAATACCGTATGCTAACACATATATATGGAATCTAAAAAAAAAAAAAAAAGAAAGGTTCTGAAGCACCTAAGGGCAGGACAGGAATAAAGACACAGACATAGAGAATGGACTTGAGGACAACACGGGGAGGGGGGAAAGGTGAGCTGGGATGAAGTGAGAGAGTGGCATGGACATATGTACACTACCAAATGTAAAATAGCTAGTGGGAAGCAGCCGCATAGCACAGGGAGATCAGCTCAGTGCTTTGTGACCACCTAGAGGGGTGGGATAGGGAGGGTGGGAGGGAGATGCAAGAGGGAGAAGATATGGGGATAGATGTATAGCTGATTGACTTTGTGATACAGCAGAAACTAACACACCATTGTAAAGCAATTATACTCCAATAAAGATGTTTAAAAAAAAAAGTGCAGCTCTTGGAAGTCATCAGTAATACTTAAGGGAAGAATAGATACCAAAAAATATAATAACTAAGTTTATGAGATTATTAATATTTTTATAGAGTGGCTACCTGAATTCATGCAATTCAACAAATATTTATCAAGAACCTGCTATGTGCTAGAAACTCTACAGGTGCTGGAAATGCAGCAGTGAACAAAATAGAGAAAAATTCCTGCCCTTAGGAAGGTTACATCCTAGCTGGGGGAGAAGGACAATAAACAAAAGAAGCAAAATATCTATTTTGACAGATGGTGATACATGCCCTGGAGAGAAATAAAACCAGAAACGGAGTAGAGGGCGACCAGCGAGTGGGAAGGGGTACTACTTTTAAATAGAGCAGTCAGAGAAGGTTTTGCTGAGAAGGTGACATTTAAGCCAAGATGTACAGGAAATGACAAGGACAGTTGCACTTTACCCTGAGCATTTCTGGAGCCCACCTTCAACATGATTGGTGATTGGGAGACAGTAAAGGAAAGAAAAAAATAAGCTCAGGAGAACATTCTTTGGAGTCCTACTCTTATTTGCGCATCTCAAAGCTGTAAGGAGAATCCCTTTAATTTCTTGAATCCAGTTTCAGTTTTCATAATGCTAAGTCCTAACAGTGTGGAGTACTTCCCCTGGATCAGGCACTGCGAAGTGTTTGATGCACATGAGCGTGTTTCATCTTCCCAACAATACTAGAGGTATCCTCAGTCCCACTTTACAGATGCTGAAGATGAGGTTAAATAATTAGCCTGAGGTCACACAGTTCAGCAAGTAGAAGAGCCTTGATTCACACTCAGGGCCCAAACATTCAGCCACCAAACCAGGCAAGTAGGAGGGTGTGGAGCCTTCTACACCACTCTTCGGGCATGTGCCTTTATTAAGGGAATGCCTTTGCTTAAAAATAAAAATAACTTGAAAACTTGCTATTATTTGTCAATTGTGGTGCTCACAATGGTCTCTAAATATTTTTTCCTCCTGCAATCTAGGGACGCCACCGTACCTCAGCTGGGTCTCATTGTTCCTGAGCTGCATTAGTTAAGATTACCCAAACGTGGATTTCAAAGGAATACTTTCATTGTTCCATCTGTCACACCAAGTAATTGGGGCCAGCTGGATGTCAGGATGCGCGTGGTAACCATCTTAATCCTGCTCTTCTTTTGTAAAGCCGCTGAGCGCAAAGGAAGCCCTGGGGGTGCGAGAAACCGAGTGAATCACAGCCGGGCTGGTGGGAGCCGGAAAGTCTCCAGCCTGGTCAAACGCTACGCTCCAGGCCTCCCCTGTGAAGTGTACACATATCTTCATGAGAAATACTTAGATTGTCAAGAGAGAAAACTAGTTTATGTGCTGCCCAGCTGGCCTCAGGATTTACTGCACATGCTATTAGCAAGAAACAAAATCCGCATACTGAAGAACAACATGTTTTCCAAGTTTAAAAAGCTGAAAAGCTTGGATTTACAACAGAATGAGATCTCCAAAATTGAGAGTGAGGCTTTCTTTGGTTTAAATAAACTTACCACTCTCTTACTGCAGCACAACCAGATCAAAGTCTTGACAGAGGAAGTGTTCATTTACACACCTCTCCTGAGCTACCTGCGTCTTTATGACAATCCCTGGCATTGTACTTGTGAGATGGAAACGCTTATTTCAATGTTGCAGATTCCAAGGAACCGGAATTTGGGGAACTATGCCAAGTGTGAAAGCCCTCAAGGACTAAAAAATAAAAAACTGAGGCAGATAAAATCTGAACAGTTGTGTAATGAAGAAAAGGAACATTTGGATCCAAAACCCCAAGTGTCAGGGAAACCCCCAGTCATCAAGCCTGAGGTGGACTCTTCTCTTTGCCACAACTACGTGTTTCCCATACGAACACTGGACTGCAAAAGAAAAGGTTTGTAAGTTTCTTACTTTTTCGTTTTCATGGATGATTAAAAATGCTTTCTGAATCTTAGGAATCTCTGCATCCCACCATGACTTAGAATTTTGGGAGCATTTCCACCAGAAATCTTTCCCCAATGACAATGGAATTTACTCCGAACTCAAGGTGGTTAGTGATTTGGGGAACATTAGAGGAAGGTAGGAGGTATGCTCAGGAGGGGCAGCCATTTGGGTCCTACTCTTATTTGCTCATCGCAAGCTGTGGCTGTAAGAAATTTCTTTAATCTTAAATCCAATGTAATTTAACTTATGTTGGTAAACCAGTGGGTATGAAATCAAGTGCCAGTGCTGGCCGTATAACCTGATTTACACCAATTAAATTCAAAACATGGTATGCATGTGTGGGGAGATAACCTCCAGGAAAACCATGTGCAGAGCAGGACAGGTGAGAACATCACGAGAAGGAAGCCAAGTGGGCTGTAGTGATGGTGTGTCTGTAGTTCTTACGATTTAGTCTCAAGGTTTTCAAAAACACTTGCTAACATCCTGTATCTTAACTGTTCCCAAATTATCCAAAATAAAACATAAGAATATTGAAAGAAAACCTAAGTTGAAAGTATTAATCCAAGAACTATGAGACTAAGAATAGCTTTCTAGAATATTACTTACTTTCTGCAAATCATTACTTGCTTTTACATCGCACACATTCTTGGGCTAGTAGTGTGCGGGATTTGTGCATACAGGACAAATACATGAAATAAGAAAACAGATGGGAGATTTCAGTAAGGCTCTTGACATGTTAGTGAAGACATTCTCAAAGTGTGGTCTGGGCACCGCTAATCTATCCTAGGACAACAAGGCATTTGAGTGTCTGTTTCATTTCTGGCATGGGTTAATAACTTATATGTAATATTAAGGCCAGATGTCATTGAATTAGGGTCACATAGAGCATGGTATCATTCCTTCCAGTTATTTTAGGAGGGTTTGTTTTAAGAACAGAAAGGAAAGGTTAAGAGGAACATGTGGAGACTGGCTCCTCTCAAGGAAACCATAGGCAGGAATCTGTGGACTTTGAAGAAGCAGGAATAAATTTGTTCTTTTATCAGCGAAGTCATGCTCAAGACTTGCTCCCTCTCTCTGACTGTGGAAGGTGACACCTGATTAGATCACACCATGACTACGTGACACCAAAAGGTTTGCTTACTATGACACTCTGTGAATTATATATCGTTGATGCTAGAGTAGAGCAATTACAGTATCGTAACCTGGGAGATGCCGTTACGGGATCCTCTAAGTTTGAGAGAAAGTGCTCGTTAATTGAGAACCTACTATGCTCCAGGTATTCCACACACATGCTGTCTACAGCTGCCAGCAAGGTAGTATTGATAGTATCCCCATCCTACAGTTGAGGAAAATGAGGCTAAGGGAGGTTCAGTCAGTTGCTCAAGGTCTCATAGGTAAGCAGCAAAGCTAAGATTTGAAACTTAGTCCACCTGAGCCTGCCGGCATCCATAATTAATCTAACCATGTTCAAACAAGCAGCTGGAACAAAGAAAGCATTAAAGAATTGCAGAAAAGTCAGTACATGAAGTTTCTCTGTAGCCAGATTGGGTGGAATTTCCCTAACACGGTTAACAGTGGGTACTTGGTGCTTCATGACAAAGAGCATGTTTTACTAGGATTTCCTTCGTGATGCTTAAAAACTTGAATTATATATTTTTAAAACTAATACAAAGCTACTATTCCTAGACTTGAGTTAGAAAAACTACTTGATATCACTAAGGTTCTATCCTCAAGCTAAAGTTAATTTGCACTTGCTGCATCAGGTGACAAAGAGAAAATAGTAGAGTTAAGCTCTTTAGTTATCTGAGAAAAATGCTATTAACACAAAATTGAAGGTTTCTACAGCTATACCACACTGTAATTTAAGAAAAGATAACATAGTAGGAAATAGCTTTCTTTTTTACTGCTTTTCTACTCTTTGGCCATTCCCTCTCCAGTGAGCCTATTTCTGCCTTTGTCTTTTTTTCCATGATATTTTTCTCTTTTTTCTCGGCAAAAATCAACTTATAAAAATACAAATTTTTTTTTATTGCTTTCCTTCCTCAAGTTACTGTTGTTGTCTAAACACAACCTTCCAGACATGCCCCATAAATTCATTCTTCATGCTTTAAAAGCACATGATTTACTGGAAAACAATATAAATAAAGTTTATATGACATGCACAGTTAGTACATATATACTAACACTAAAGGACAACTCAAGTTCCTCCACTTGTTAGTGACGACGTAAATCAGAGCCTATACTTTTTAGATTATAAAATGAAGGGTAGTTGTGTCTTTTAATATCATCAATATAAATCACTCTCACTATGGTTGATATCAGTCTAGTGATTCAGCTGATAATGTACTTTTCATTTTTTGATATATTGTTGATTCCCATAAGTTTAAAATCAAAGGTCTTCTCTATTAAATTCCCTTTGGTACTGCCTGGCACAGGGCCATGTTCTTTAGATTGATGATAATAATCGAGCTGCTTTCTTTGCTCTTACAAAGCAGTAATTTAAGCAACTTTTAAACATAAAAATATATAGAAGTTAAAAATCATGGCTGGAACTCAGGTATGACACTGAATTTTATCCATTGTAGTTTTCCTTACCCTATTCTATAACTAGATAATAAATGTCAAATACTGAGAATAAATGTTCAGCAGTGTTCATCTCTAACTCCCTGCCAGAGGGTGGTAATACTTTTGATGGTGCTCACATGTTGGACACTATGTAGGATCTAAAGAAGCCTAAAACATGCCATCAAGAGTGGAACTAGCCGTGATATTAATGAGAGCTGCCATCTAAATGCTCTGTGTGCCTAAGACATAGCAGTTTCATGCATTGTCATTTACTCCTCACAACCTTAAAAGAAATACTAGTATTATCCTCATTTTAGGAAGGAAGAAGTTGAGGAGTAGAGAAGTTAGGTTGCCCTTTGAAGATCACATAGGCAATCCCTAAGCAGTTCCCAAGCCATTGGCCACCATGCACTGTCCTCTCTTCCTTCAAGATTCTGGGTATGCCTATTAACCAAGAAGAATATATAAAAGCCTTCTGGGTGCTTCCTTCCAGTATTGAACCCTCCTCTTAGGCTCTGTACAATTCATCGTGTACATGATCACACTCAAGGAACCCGAATACAGATTCCCTTAACTCGGGAATTAGTTGTGCCTCTTCCAGCTGACAGATGATGAGTCAGATGGTGTGTGTAGGGTACCTAATACATGCCATTTTGACCACATAGACCTCAAAGATCACTATTTTTGCCTTAAACATCTGACAGCAAGAAAAAGAAACAATAGCTTTATTCACTGACAGGCACTCTGCCAACAAAACTTAGTCTTTCAAAGGGAATAAATGTAAGATTAGTTGAAAGCCGTGTTTATGCCATATTGAGATGGATGGATTTGCCAAAAATACATGAGAGAGTTTTAAAACTGCTTTTTAGCTTCACATTTACCAGAATAATTTACCATTTTAAGGATTTATTTTACTTCTAAGATTAGGGCTGTGGAGAATTATGACCATAAATTGCTCCCAGCTGCCTCTGAAGATAATTTCACCATTAGTTTGAACAATAATTAAGAATCTTTTATTTGCAATACACAGGGCCTTTTATATCTCTTTACCTACCACTACCAAGCCTTAAGAGTAGTTCTGACATTGCTGACAATCAAGGTAGCCTACTAAATGAGAAATTACGTGGAAAAAATTTCCCAATTTCCTCCTCAAAATCAGCAAGGTTTGGTTGGGGGAGAGGCAATGCTTGTCAGGGGGTGATAATCAAGTAAATATGATATTTGTTGAAGGTTTACCAAAAATCTCAGCAGCAAATAACCGTGTGGTGCCTGGTCTAGAAATGGGGGCATTGACCAAATTTGACTTCTGGTCTGGGGAAATTTGTATTTGTGTAATCTTTATCAAAGACAAACATACTTCACATCAACATTTGCATTTCTCATTCAAGTTTAAGGTTAAAAAACTAAAGAACTGTTTTTACTCATCAATACAACAAATAAGATTTTTCCATGTTTTTCTAAGCCTACTAGTAAAGGCTTTGGTTTGCATTTCCTGGTATTACTTGTGGATCCTATTTTTACTCAGGTCTGCTGGTAACAATGCCAAAGTTGGTTCTGCAGTTCATATTCCTCTTCCACAGTTCTGCCACATTGCTTAAGCTGGGTTTCGGGGTGTTCTCATAAACATTTTTTTCTACCCATTTATTTGTGGTTAACCCACTTTAGCTTGTCCTACAGTGGTTGCTTGGGCCTCACCCTCATGTCCTACAATGGTTGCTTGTCATTCACCCTCATGTCCAGCCCAGCAGATGTGGGTTCAGCAAGCAAGTACTGATAAATAGGCTGTTTTCCAGGACCTAGGAGATACTAACTCTGGTGGCAAGGAAGACCTACAGCCCTTAATGTCTTTGTAGGGCCTTGGTGAGGACTTGGGCTTTTATTTATAGTGAGATGGGAAGCAATGAAAGGGTTCTGCCATCTGGAGGATGGCAAGCCATCTGGTAAAATGACAGGATCTCACATGTTTTAACATGATCACCTGGGCTTAGGACAATATTGGGATAATCCAGACAAGAGGTGATGGTGGCTTGGACCAATGTGGTAGCAGTGAAGGAAGAGAAGAGAGGTGGGATCCTGGGTATTTTGAAATAAAACTCTATTCCTCTTTTAAAAATCTTCTAAGAAAATGCCACAGCCATTCTCAATAATTATTCCAAATGCTAAATGTCAAGAAATTATTTCTTCTGCCTGTCCTCAAGTGTCTCTGTGGTTTTCAGTTTTTCCTGGGATATCCATCTCCTTGTTTACATGTAGTGCCCAAGAGAGAATATAGCTCTCCTGTCAGGGTCTTGCTGGTCCTAAAGGGAGGATTACCTCAGCGTTGCAACATTATAATAAGTTCAAGTCTTAAAATCTTTCACCTTTCTATATATTGGCAGAGACAACTCTAGGTCAAACAAAACAATGTCTTATCAGAGAATGGAAATAAAATCAATCCAAATTTTCAAAGCATTTTTATTACAAGAGGGCTCAATATTCCTGAATCATTAAACTCAACACATTTAATGAGCTCATTATTTCCCATGTGTTAGTTAGATAACTTTGTTGCTGCCTAAGAAACTACCCCAAAACTTTGTGGCTTAAAACAACACACTTTATTATCTCACAGTTTCTGTAGGTCAGGAAACCAGATATGGGTTAGCTGAGTCCTCTACTTCAGGATCTCTCACAAGGCTGCAATAAGATGTGGTTTCACCTGAAGGCTCAACTGGAAAAATATCCTCTTCCAAGCTCATATGACTGCTGGCAGGATTCAGTTCCTCAAGGACTGTTGGACTGAGGGCCAGAGTTCCTTGCTGGTTGTTGGCCAGAGGCCAACCTTAATTACTTGCCATGTGAGCCTCTCCAAAATGGCAACTTACTTCATCAAAGCCAGCAAAAGAGAGTCTGCTAGCCAGACAAAAGTCACAATTTCTTATAACCTAATTATGGAAGTGAGCTCCTATCATATTTGCTGCATTCTATTATTAGAAGCAAGTCACTAGGTTCAGCCCATACTTAAGGGGAAGAGTTTATACAAGGGCATGAATATCAGTAGAGGAGATTGTTGGATGACATTTTAGAAGCTGACTGCCACATACCACTTATTTATTTATGATATATTAGGCACTGTTCTAAACGTCCCTCAGGAAGCTTCCATGGCAAGGAGGGTGCAAAAATGAAAAAAATCAGTAAGATGTACCCTGCGCCTGATGCTGATAACTGCCATTGAGAAGAAGCAGGAAATGGTATTATCATTGCTGTTGTTGCCTACTTGAAAGCAGGGAGATGTCATTTTAAATACAGAGCCAGAAAGGTCTTATGGCCATTCCAATATATTGACCCCCACCCCAGTTGTTCCCCAATCCCCACTTAACCCTACATGACAAGCTTGAGGATTCTAAGCAGATGGAACAGCATAAGTGAAGCAGAAAGGTACCAGGAATAGGCAGCAGAGCATAATGGTTAGAAGCATAGTTTTGGGGGCTAGCATGTCTGTGTTTAACTCCTAGAGTGTGTACCAAACGTAAAACAGATAGCTAGTAGGAAGCAGCTGCATAGCACAGGGAGATCAGCTCCGTGCTTTGTGACCGCCTAGAGGGGTGGGATAGGGAGGGTGGGAGGGAGGGATATGCAAGAGGGAAGAGGTATGGGAACATATGTATATGTATAACTGATTCACTTTGTTATAAAGCAGAAACTAACACACCATTGTAAAGCAATTATACTCCAATAAAGATGTTAAAAAACAAAAAACAAAAAACAACCCCAAACACTCAAGGCAGAGATACAGCAGCAAAATTGTCAGCTGCTTCCCTTTATACCCACTGAGCCTGGGCGTTATAAAAAAAAAAAAAAAAAAAAAAAAATCCTAGAGGGTGACTATGGGCAAGTTGTGCCTCAGTTTCTTCATCTGTAAAATGGGGATAATGTACTTAGCTCATAGGGTTCTTGTCACATAATACTTGTTAGGGCACCTAGAAAAAGTTCTTGTACATAGGTACTAAGATACCAAGATCCCATCAAGAAGAAAAAGCAAATTTAACAGTGATAAGAATACCAAAGAAGGAACTACCAATACCATCCCATTAACCATGGATTCTGAGCTGTTAAAAGAAGGGGGGATATAAGACTGAGTCTTTATGAAAGTAAACATACTATGAGTTAAGAAATCATATATACCAGAAGGGGTTTTTTAAAAATATTTGGAAAACATTATCAGTAAGTCAATTATTCTATAGCAAAAAGGGAATTATGGATAAATGGATACCACCTTTCATAAACTTACTGTACCTAGTTCAAGGAATTTCTACTTATTCAGAAAGTCTTTGGGTCATGCTGTTTCTCAGGTGTGAACTAATCTGGACATTTTATTTGTTGCTTCTAATTTTCTTTTGTCTGAACAGGTTTGTTTCTCTTCACAGGCTTCACTTGCCCTACTTAAAATTGAATAAAACCTTTTCAGAATATTTTGCTAAAGATTAAAAGAAAGGGCAAGTATTATACTAAACTATAAAATAAACACACTTTATAGTATTTTAAAGCATGATTAAAAGACAAATATAAATAGTAAGAGATAAATTAGGTGAACCTTGATTTCCTATTAACCTATGAAAAATAACTGGGCTCCTCTTCCAGAGGCTTTTTTGTAGTAGAGTCATTGTCAACTCAGCAGTAGCTTGTAGTAGCAGCACTATTGTTATTACTGTTTCTCCTGAGGAGTCCAATTACTTCAGTACCTTGGGAAGAGTCATGGAGGAGTGGTGGAGTATAAACTAAGTCACAAGGATGCAGGGAATAAGTGGGTGATGAGGAAGCAGGGGGAGCAAATGAGGACTATTCTTTCTCCAATTTTAGCATCCAAGGAAAGGAGAAAAAAGGTAACATCCTGAGGGTCATCAAGGTCGAGGGCTTTTTGTTTCTTTTTTAGGATGGCAAGTTCTGAGCTTATTTGTTAACAGAAGGAGAGGGATGAAAGGAAGATGCAACAAAGAGGCAATAATTAATAGTGAAAGCTCTTAGAGGAGTGGGAAGGGAATGGGAGGGGAGGCAGGAAGAGTGGTTTGATTTGTGGGTTTCATTTTGTTTCAGCTTTCTGTTTTTAAGAGCATCCCAGGTGATTCTAACAGGCGGCCAGGCTTAAGCCCCACCACGCGCCTGATGCCCAGCCAGCTGAGCTGCACTGCCTGCTGTCCTGCTCTTGATTTCTTGCCGCCTCTAGGAAGTTTCTCAGAACAGTTCAGCAAGGAGTGATACCTGCTCCTCTGAGTGTGATGCACTTGGTTCGCTGGGCTTTGGTGGAATTTAGCATATTCTGAGGCTTGTTCATATAGTAATGTTCTTCGGCTTTAGATGGGATTTCCTTTTCCCCTTCAAGAGCTGACTCTTCAGTCACACAGGGATAAGAGTGATAGAGCAAATGGGGGCAAGAGGAGAGCTTGATAACCTGAACATTTTAATTTTTTCCAGAGTTGAAGAAAGTTCCAAACAACATCCCTCCAGACATTGTTAAACTTGACTTGTCACACAACAAAATCAACCAGCTTCGACCCAAGGAGTTTGAAGATGCTCATGAGCTAAAGAAATTAAACCTCAGCAGCAACGGCATTCAATTCATAGATCCCGGTAAGTTCCACAGAATAGCCCTTTAAACAGGTGACAGGTGTTCTCTGTTTTTTTTATTATGGCAACATTTATAGTAAATACAATTTAGTTTTTAAAAAACTAGTAAGAAGTTTGAATTTAAATGAAACATGCTTATAGTAGAACTTGCTTGGCCCTCAGAAATATTTGCCAAACTGTTGCTTTATGAAGTATGTAATAAGCAACAGTTATTCAGTTGGTCCAAATAAAAGAAGTGTTATGTAGAATATATTTTAAAAATAAGAGTATATGGCTAGGGCTTCCCTGGGGCACAGTGGTTAAGAATCCACCTGCCAATGCAGGCGACACGGGTTCGAGCCCTGGTCCAGGAAGATCCCATGTGCCACGGAGCAGCTAAGCCCCTGAACCACAGCTACTGAGCCTGCGCTCTAGAGCCCACACGCCACAACTACTGAAGCCTGCACACCTAAAGCCCATGCTCCGCCACAAGAGAAGGCACCACAACGAGAAGCCCGCGTACCACAGCAAAGAGTAGCCCCGGCTCACCACAACTAAAGACAACCCGCACACAGCAATGAAGACCCAAAGCAGCCAAAAAATATATATATAGGGTATGTGGCTAGTGGTCAGTAATATGCTAAACATGTCGTGATTTTTAAAAGGAAATTCAGATCTGGCATTTTCTTTGCTTTTCATTAAGTCCAAACTTATTTAAAGTAAGACTTTAACTTGTTTAAAGTAAATTTGAAACAATCTGCTAAGCAGAATAAATTAAGCTCATAAAATAAAGATCTAGGGCTTCCCTGGTGGCGCAGTGGTTGAGAGTCCACCTGCCGATGCAGGGGACGCGGATTCGTGTCCCGGTCCGGGAAGATCCCACATGCCGCGGAGCGGCTGGGCCCGTGAGCCGTGGCCGCTGAGCCTGCGCGTCCAGAGCTTGTGCTCCGCAACGGGAGAGGCCACAACAGTGAGAGGCCCGTGTACCGCAATAAA